ATTGAGACTCAGCAGCTAGCACCAAATACATAGCTCCCTCTATACCATCCGTGTGAATGTTAAGTACATCCATGGGCCAACTCCCTATTATTGCCGATGTTCAGGCAATTCCTCCCTCCCCTGTACATGCAGAAGCTGTCCACACCACTAGGAGTGCATGGATCAGACTTAACTAGCGGAAAACACTCCAGCACATCACTGGACTCTGCAACCAGTTACCATGGAGCTGATCAACGAACTTTTTGTAAGCTTCAGACCTATGTTTCAAGAGAACAAAATACGATTGTAGATGCTCTAGCCAAGGCTGCGTCCATCCAGTTAAACAAACTCTCGGTATTCTTTTAAGATATAACACCTCAGATCTGAATCAATCTGTACTAGACTCCCAACTTTTGCTCCAGGCCTTGTAGAGCACTAGGTAGGGTTCAGGCGACATACAAACAGATCCAGCAGCTCGCATGATCTTGAATACCTAGAAAAAGAATGTAGCAAGTGTTTATGCTCTGAATCATATGCAAGACAGTGCATCTTCTTTAACAAGAACAGACTGATAGAGAGATTTTCACACCTAGGAAATTATTATCAAGGAAAGTAAGAGGAGTACTTCATACGAAACAGTAATTTGTCCAATGATATTTTCAAGGGCCAAGAAGGCAATCGTCTAATCATGGAGCACAAGAAAAGTTACTTTAATTAGCATATAATTGCTATGTAAAACATCATCTATACACAACCATCAGTTTGCTTTGACTACAAAGCTGTACATGGTCGGCTGGTGTTGTCATTGGACCAGCATGTCCATCAGTCAGAAGTTTTCAAGCAAACTTATCTAACTACTGTGGATTCTATCTGGAGTAACAATGCATAATATAGACAAAGCCAAGTCAGAGAATGTTTTCGAGTCCCAAAATTCAAGATAATCTCTAGAGTATATAAGCCATCACAGAAAGCAAACATGTTGATGTATACCCCAGATAACATAACTGTAAAGTTGCATATTTTAGCAAGGATGTAAAAAAGGAAAACCATGAACAAAAAATTAGAGAGCGTATGCAATGGAGATCTCAAAAAGGAGAGTTCCTTCATGAGTGGTATGTTTCCAAAATTACCATGCACCGACCTTTATAAACTCTCTAGGAAATCGTAATGGATGCAAATCTCCCTTGATGTCAAGAGGAAGGGATGAGAGCTGTAAGAGACAGAATAGGCTTTTGTCAGATCCTGCAAGCACTAACCAAACAGAAGGTAAATAGATGTTTTAATGAACTACACAAACAATACAACATACACATTTCTATTCTTGTATTGACATATATCAATGTGTCAGTAAATAGTATAAAATGTTGCCATCGGTCCGGTCTAGACCATTGTCTCAATAAATAGTATAAAATGCTAAAGCATACACTTCGTAAAGACATTAGATTCTCACTAAATGGTGAGCCGCATTTTGAGCCAACCTCCTACATAAAATTTACTTCTCAAAGCATTGTCAAAAGGTAACATGGGTAACCAATTATTGTGTTAAAACATCCTAGTTGAAATTAGTTGTTACATATAACTTTCTCCCAAAAATCAGCCTGACGACTTAAACTTATTTTCCATATTCCAGTTCGGCCTATATACCACAAAAATGAGGAATGTTATTGGAACCTGTACCACAGACCATAACCATGCATCTGATTGTTTACTTTCTTAAATAATGCCAATGCTTATAACCCAACTCTATGTGATAGTTCAAAGTTAGTGAGCAGCTCTCTTTCGTAGATAACATGTACAGATGTGAGTCCTGCCCATTTATCCTACAGCCCAGCAGGTATTTCCAGTAGGACCAATGGCTCCAAACCGTTACATCTGAACCAAGTAAAGTCGTACTACTCCGTCCCATAATGTAAGACGGTTTTGAAAGCTAACATAGCTTGCAAAAAACGTGTACAGATGTGAGTCCTGCCCATTTATCCTACAGCCCAGTAGGTATTTCCAGTAGGACCAATGGCTCCAAACCGTTACATCTAAACCAAGTAAAGTCATACTACTCCGTCCCATAATGTAAGACGGTTTTGAAAGCTAACATAGCTTGCAAAAACGTCTTCCATTATGGGACGGAGGGAGTATTGTTTTAGCATAACCTAGTGAACTCACTTCCAGAGACTTTCAATAGCTGATAACTGAAAGACTACATCTATAATTAATTAGCTAATTAGAGCAAAAGTGGATCGCTGTGAATCTGCATATGAGCAAACCTAAATTATTTTTAGAGCAAACAACTGAAAATAAGATCAAGCCAGAGACAGGTTAATTGATACTCCTAAATACAAATCACTAACACCAGGAGGCAACATTCCCTTCAGTTGCTCCCAGAAAAGACTATTTACCTAAATAAGATCCTCCAATTATCCACTATGAATTGCAAGAACATGAATAGAACATTAGGAGTTCAAAGTTCATTACCCGCAATGAAGGAGACCTTACCTTGGCTCACAGGGGCTGTTTGGATGCCGCCCGTACCAGCCTTGCCAAATCGGGGCTCGCCAAAAAATTAGCGCACTATTTTGCCGTGTGGATTCACCAACAACCTGACGCTAGAACTGAACAGGCAACCAAAACTTTGGCGCATAACCAAAAAATCTGCTTCCAACCAAAGGCCAACGAGCCAGACAATGCTTTTGTAAGGCTGTTGCTGGCTGTGATGCAAACAGGCCCATAGTCTCAAACTCTCAATGCACCAGCAACTAACTTGAAAACTGAAATTTTAATTTGCATTGCAGAATGGCTTCATCTCACACTTTCTTAGTTCCAATACATCTGTTTAAAATCATTAATGCGGACGAAAAAGTTCATAACGAAGCCATGGTTTCTTCTCAACTGAATGATGGCACTACATATCATGTTTGAAGAAATAAACTATCAGTTTCATCACACGTTAGCAACGACTAGCCCAGGATATCTATACACAACCATCAGTTTGCTTTGACTACAAAAGTTGTACATGGTTGGCTGGTGTTGCCATTGGACTAGCATGTCCATCAGTCAGAAGTTTTCAAGCTAACTTATCTAACTACTGTGGATTCTATCTGGAGTAACAATGCAGAATATAGACAAAGCCAAGTCAGAGAACGCTTTCGAGTCCCAAAATTCAAGATAATCTCTAGAGTATATAAGCCATCACAGAAAGCAAACATGTGGATGTGTAGCCCAAATAACATAACTATAAGGTTGAATATTTTAGCAAGGACGTAAAAAGGAAAACCATGAACAAAAAATTAGAGAGCGTATGCAATGAAGATCTAAAAAAGAATAGTTCCTTCATGAGTGGTATGTTTCCAAGATTAACATGAACAGGCCTTTATAAACTCTCTAGGAAATCGTAAATGGATGCAAATCTCCTTCATGTCAAGAAGGGATGAGAGCTGTAAGAGGCAGAATAGGCTATTGTCAGATCCTGCAAGCACTAACCAAACAGTAGGTAAATAGATGTTTTAATGAACTACACAAACAACACAACATACACATTTCTATTCTTGCATTGACATATATAAACGTGTCAGTAAATAGTATAAAATGTTGCCATCAGTCCGGTCTGGACCATTGTCTCAGTAAATAGTATAAAATGCTAAAGCATACACTTCATAAAGACATTAGATTCTCACTAAATGGTGAGCTGCATTTTGAGCCAACGGCCTACATAAAATTTACTTCTCAAAGCATTGTCAAAAGGTAACATGGGAAACCAATTATTGTGTTAAAACATCTTTAGCTGAAATTAGTTGTTACATATGATTTTCTCCCAAAAATCGGCCTGATGACTTAAAACTTATTTTCCCTATTCCAGTTCATCCTATATACCACGAAAATGAGGAAATTTATTGGAACCTGTACGACAGAGACCATAGCCATGCATCTGATTGTTTACTTTCTTAAATAATGCCAATGCTTATAACCCAACTCTATGTGATAGTTCAAAGTTTATTTAAGTGAGCATCTCTCTTTCGCAGATAACATGTACAGATGTGGGCCCTGCCCAGTTATCCTACAGCCCACTAGGTATTTCCAGTAGGACCAATGGCTCCAAACCGTTACATCTGAACCAAGTAAAGTTGTACTATTTTAGCATAACTTAAGTGAACTCACTTCCAGAGACTTTCAATAGCTGATAGCTGAAAGACTACATCTATAATTAGTTAGCTAACTAGAGCAAAAGTGGATTGCTGTGAATCTGCATATGAGCAAACCTAAATTACTTTTAGATCAAACAGGAACTGAAAATAAGATTAAGCGAGAGACAGGTTAATTGATACTACTAAATACGAATCACTAAAACCAGGAGGCAACATCCCCGCCAGTTGCTATCAGAAAAGACTATTTACCTAAATAAGATCCTCCAATTATCCACTATGAATTAAAAAAACATTAATAGAACATTAGGAGTTCATTACCCACAATGAAGGAGACCTTACCTTGGCTCATCGGGGCTGTTTGGATGCCGCCCATACCAGATTTGCCAAATCAGGGCTCGCCAAAAAATTAGTGCACTATTTTGCCGCGTGGATACGACAACAACCTGATGCTAGAACTGAACGAGCAACCAAAACTTTGGCGCATAACCAAAAACTCTGCTTCCAACCAAAGGCCAACAAGCCAGTCAATACCCAAATATTTTTGGTAAGGCTGTTGCTGGCTGGATGCAAACAGGCCCATTGTCTCAAACTCTCAATGCACCAGCAACTAACTTGAAAACTAAAATTTTAATTTGCATTGCAGAATGGCTTCATCTCACACTTTCTTAGGTCCAATAAGTGTGTTTAAAATCATTAATGCGGATGGAAAAGTTCATAACGAAGCCATGGTTTCTTCTCAACTGAATGATGACACTACATATCAGGATTCAGAAACAAACTATCAGTTTCATCACACGTTAGCAACGACTAGCCCAGGATATCTAGCAGACATACATCAACGGACAACCAGCACACAGTTACGAATTTTCATAACCCGTTCATGGTTCATGTGAATCTGAAATTAGTCGGCATTTCCCCTTTGCAAGCGGCATCATAGTCTTTTGTGAGGTGCGGCGCAGCTTCCTTATGAGGGCATATGAACTTCTCCATGAATACCTTCTCTGCCAGCATGACTGCATTATAGTAATCTCGGTCATGACGAAGCAATCCATTTTCCTTAAGAAACTTTAGAACATAGTACCGGGGTTTGATCCGGCCCTCCAGGCTGTACAAGAGCAATGCCGGCCGATGAGCGATGTATGCCGGTTCCAACCCCGCCTCAGAGATCAGGAACTCTGACTTGCTCTGCACCATCTGGTCAGAACTTATCAGCACAAATGGAAACTTGGACACAACAATGCGGACCTCAGCATCCGACCACCTAAACGTCGTCTTCAAGTAATCCACTTTGGCAGCGATCTTCTCCTTGCTGAGGCGTGCAACAGCATTCAATGCGTGTCTGAACATCCTACAGCCACGAGGCACACCTATACCTTCAGCAAGTGCCACCACTTCCCGGACGCGCTCCAAGTTGGAGGCGAGCAGACATGGCTGGGTGACGCACAACTTGGCAATGTCGGAGTCACCTAGCCCGCACTCCTGCAGGAACGCGACATTGGGCTTGACCACCGTCTCGAGGTTGGCCGAGAGAAGGCATAAGCCACGGCTGACAGCACGGAGGAGGTTCTCGAAGGAGCCGAATAAGCCCAGGTAGTACTGCACATTGGAGACGGTGGACATACGGCGGAATCTGTCACGGGAGAGCGAGACGAGGCGCGCGATCTCGGAGCGCGACAGGCCGAGGCCGGTGAGCCCCGCGACGACGGGGGCCAGGGTCCTCTCCACTTTGGCGCAGAGGAACAGCGGGTCCTTGGCGACGATGGAGGCGACGTCGGCGCCGGAGAGGCCGAGGCCGGCGAGGAAGGCGAGGACGGCGTCGGGATTGGCGGGGGACTTGAGGTGGGAGAGCTTGGCGGAGGCCTCGAGTGCCTGGGGCCGGGCGAGGCCGCAGGTTTCGACGAGGTAGTCCTCTACGGCGAAGTTGGTAGGGTTCGGGGAGATGGCGGGCGCTGCGGCAGAGATGAGGCGGCGGAGCTGGGAGGCGGGAGACGGGGGTGGAGAAGAGAGGAGCTGGGTGAGGACGCAACACCGGAGCCGGAGCATGGCGGCGGCGGCCGCGGCGGCAAGGGGATGGGGAAACGAGCGGCGGCGGCGAGCGAGCGAGACTCTAGTTGCGTGGTAGTGGGCCTTGAAGCCTTGCCACTCCAAAAAATGGAACCCTTGCCGTCTCAGGGACGGTTGGTTAGCGCCCATTCAACTTGTACCCCTAAAAAAATCGAAAAATGATTGGAATCATCCAGCCGATTCTACGCTCTTCGACCGCCTCATTGAGAGTCAACCACATATCGGTTCAGTCTCACGCATCGCAAGTCTTAACATTTTGCAACATCGCTCATGTTTCCGAAACATGGGAAATGTTGCTGTGGCAACTCGACGGTGGAGATGTTTTTTTTTTGCAGCAGAACCTCTGTTGTAACAAAAATCTCAAACATAATCTCTGTTGCAAACTTTTTTTTCTATAACACAATCTTTGTTACAAATATTTTCTGCAACATGACCTCTGTTGCAAAATAGTTCTGTAAGGCTGGTGAGAAAAGATCTGTCGACCAACGCTTAGCACTCCCAAAAATAATCTAGTCAGCTTGTACCCCTAAAAAAATCTATTCAACTTGTCCTGGCACTTTATATACAGCTCACGTACCTCAAATTCAAAGTGAGAGTACAAGAATATATTGGAGAATCAACAATAGGCACACCACTATCATCATTCACTCAATCCAAAAACTAATGAAATTAGAATGCAACCTTGTTTTTTCTCTGTAGGTGGCCCAAACAGGGTGCTTGTTTGAACTCTCAACCCTTTACGAAAAGCAACACATAGAAAGCAACAACTTTGCACTCCAGCATTCAACAACAGAAACCTCCCATTGTCCGACTCCGATCAAAGGGCTCCGTTGCACTTCAAGATAGGTGAAGGATGGGCCCAAATATCTTCATCACTTCGGTGATTCTCGTCTAATCTTTTAAGCATCTGCATCACTGAGACAAATATCTTCAGGGTTACCGACTTACCTTTATCTCTTTATTAATATGTGGCACTCTTGTGTTGTAAGAAGAGTAATTGGTTTCACGTCGGTTGGTAAGAATGAAAATATTTTAAGTGGTTTTCCTACAAAGCAAGTGAATTTTCATAAAAGGGCTAAAACCCATAATTGTTTACAGCATTATATGAGGGTTAAGGGGGCAACAGTAGGTGGAGCACCAACATACATACAAACAGAGAGAAAGACCAAGGACAGGCAACGCTCAAGCCGCAAGGTGCGTAGCCGCCTTCGTCGCCTCGAGGGCGCGAAGACAAACGTCAGTGTGGCAGCGCTGATCCACCTTGCACCTCCCACGCCACAATGACGCGTCATCCCGGCAACACTTGAGGACGTGGGGTAGGGAAGAAGAGAGGCCACGGAACACAACAGCATTCCTATGTTTCCACATGTACCAGCAGCAAAGCAGCACGAAGGCTTTCGGAGAAGCATCGCAGACGGTGGTACAGACATCAAGTAGGTGGAGCTCCCGCACAGACGCACTGATGACGGGCACCCCAGCTTAGCCCGGAAAAGCAAGGGCGAAGGGGCAGCAGCCGAACATGAGGTACTCTGCCGTCTCAAGGGGCTCCGATCACACAGGACAGCCAGCCTCAGCAGCGGTGACGATCGTCTTCCTGAGCAGCACAAACCAAAATATTAATAATAGCAAGCTTTAAATCAGAAGACTTTCAGCATTTAAAGAATAAATGCAGCAGTAATAGAGTAACTTTTTCTAAGCTATCTTGCTCCCTCACCTGCCTAATTATAGAGTGATTCATCTGGGAAGATATTCCGGCCATCTGCACCAATCGTTGCAACATGGACTAGGACGCCTTGTTCTTCTGAGAGGCACTTCCTGAACTCTTGCTCGCGCAGGCAGTCAACCATGTACAATCGTCTCAATGAGCATAGGTTCTTTGCCTGATCCAGTGCTGGGCAGTCCTGGGCAAGCAAGTCCTGAAGCTTACAGAGATTGGAGATTGTCTTCAAACATGTGTTGTTCTTCACTTTGAGCCACACGACTGCGGGAAGGTCAACAACTTCTTGCAGCTTGTGAGCACCTTCAATGTGGATTCTCTTCAAGTTAACAATCTTGGACATGTCTTGATGGAGAGCTCTCAGTTTTGGGCAAGAGAAGGACTTCG